CCAAACGTATGGTCTCAATGTCGTCATTCCAACGTGGAAGAGCATACTCGTTCTCATCTATCTTCGATGGCTCCCATTCACCCATCTCGCGATAAATGTGGCGACCACCACTAGGAAGAGGGTCTTCCTCTTCAATCAATTCGGGTTCACTCTCCTCATTTATCGATCTGTCTGATTCGCTTTCGGAGGTCTCATCTGTGAAATCTTCTTCACCAGGAACGAAATCTTCATCGCCTTCTTCTTCTTCCCAGTTCTCATTTTCCCATTGCATTGTTGAGCTTGTCCTTTCTCCAAAATTACGTAGATGGGAAGTCGACGTACCATCAACATCCACCTCTCCCCCGTAACACCCCCACACATCCTCAACCTGTGTAACCGGTGTAATTGCCTCCAACGATAAATGCAAATACACCGTGGACATAGGAGTAAGGTAATAAATATACTGAAGAACACTTTCGTTATTGAGTCTTAAGAAATTCAACGAACCATCGCGTTGCTCAACTATTAAAGTAATGTCCTTCATTGTCCAACCTTCTCCGAACCAACAATTTTGTTTAATCATTTCTACCAATTGTTGATATGATATCCTCTCCGGAATAAACAATGACCCATCCAGACGATCTTTAAATAAAACAAATTCACTTAACCTTTCTGTCGCAAAATGCCAGTACAAATTAACAAAATATGGACCGGAAAATGTCATTAATACCTGTTGCAAAAAGACACTTTCAATTCTTCACAATTACAACAACACATGGTGTCTAATATTTAATCCAACACAAAAAAAATTCAATTATTTCGGATAAATTTGAAAGCCCCAATTCTAACCCTAATTTCGAAAACCCTAAGCCCAACAACAACCAACAAATACACAATTAACAATTTATAACAAAATTCCAATCTCCAATTCAACATATACACATATTCGATAAACAATTAACAATTCCTAATGTCCAAAACAACACCACATTCAAACATATTATAACAATTCCAATTTTCCAAACAACTCCAAACAATGTAAAAAGTTAAGATAAATCAATATACCTTGTGCGAATGAATTAACCGGAAATGAGACTCGTGTCGTTGTTGTCGATTTGGTTCGGGTAGGATTGGATCGTGTTTTCTTTTTTTCACCGGAGTCGCTCGCCGCTCGCAGAAGAAGAAAAAAATTTTTCGCCCCCCCAGAAATGAGATGCGCAAATGAGGGAGAAGAGAGATTTTTTTTTTTTATATTTTATAGTAAAACGTATTCTGAAAATACGTTTTACTATGAATTATTTGTAAAACGTATTCGTATAATACGTTTTTAGTTTTTAATTTTTTTATTGGTAAATTCAAATTTATAAACGTATTTCGAAAATACGTTTTATAGTTACTATTATTTAATTCTATTCCACTATTAAACGGAAATATATTTTTTTTTTATTTTTTAAAAAAAATTAGTAAAACGTATTACGAGAATACGTTTTTTTAATAAATTTTTATTAGAAAAACGTATTCTAAGAATACGTGCTTTTGATTTTTTTCCACTTCTTTTTTTTTTTTNCAAAACTGTAAACAAAATTCCAAGGACTACACACCTTCTAATAACTCATCCTTTATAGGACTCAATACTAATATCCCACATTTGCAGAGTAGGAAATTTTGAAAAGATTCCACTAGCCATTTTCCACCTTTAGTAATATAACAGTACAAATGATAGCAAAAAAGAAGTTTATTGCACAACACAAAGACCCAATGCTTAAAAAGCTCTTACACATGGAAAAACAAAACCAGCCGACAAAAGCACACGCTATTTGACTCGAACCTGTTCTAAAAAAAGTCTGAGGAATTTCGAATTGTTTGTCGACACAGACAAAAGTCAGGGAGAACGAACCTCTGAAATTTTTTCAATATTTCACCTTTGCACATATAAGAAGAGTTCCGAATCGAATCTCTTTAGAGAGAAAGATCTTTTTGTCTTACTCAACCTCCTTAATCAACGGCTTACCACTTATTCCCGATTTTCCCTCCAACTTCACGCCACTCCCTTTGCCTCCTGATTGCTCCACAGCAAACTCCTTCTCCTTCTCCACAACACCCGCCAACAAAGAGCAAGACTCGTTCGCTTGCTCACGAACCCAACACATGACAAAGTAAATTTTCCTCTCGGCTGACTTGAGCTTTCCCCTCAACTCAGCTCGTCTCAACTTGTCAACTTTCTCTGACTTCAACTCCCGTTCGCCCTTCTGAACCAATCTCCGCATATCACACAATGCGCAAACCAAAGCATTTCCTCCCAAACATAACAAACAGATCACATCATCCACAATTCTCATCCCCAACTTCAAACCGCCCATTTGTTTATAAACCGGCGAGCACGTTCGCTCCAAACAGTCCAGCAAGGCTTCCAACACCGTTTGAGGTTTTCCGGCACTGCCCAAGACAGAGGACACGGTAAGGACTACTGTGGATGCATCCAGAGGATCCGCTCCCCAGTCACCGTTGTAAAGGCGGAGAGTGAAGCAGTAACTGTATATGATGTCCACGAGGTGGACTGGTAAGAGTGGGGATGGGCTTGAGGCAGTGAGTTGAGAGACGGGCGGTAATGGGCTTTCAGGCCCATGTGGGACGTCGGCCCATTTTTCCGGTGAAGTTGATTCTGAGTTGGGAATGGGGTGGACTAAGTGGGTCCCGTCAGGGCTGAGTGCTATGTGTTTGGCAGAAGGCTTTAACCACCATGGGTCCCACGGTTGGATTAGTTTGCCGAGCTCTCCTGAGGCAACGGCTCTTTGAAAATGTTTCTTTTCTTCGATGGATAAATCGTCGAAGTTTATCTGGCCGCCTGCAAGAGGGGGTTATAGAGCATTTTATTAGGACTGCTGATGGACTGCTGATGGTTTACAGTGTGGATGTTAGGTATTGTCGTTGGAAAACCCAAGTGTTGCATTAATATATACCTGAGAGAATCTTCTGAATAGTTTCCTCTGAGAAAGATGATACGGAATCTGAATGATTAAATTATGATATACGGAGGTTAGTGACGGATATGAGAAGATTGCTTCTGTACAGGAGTTAAGTACACGCAAAATGTAGCAGGCAATGAACAAACAACACGTAAACAGTACAAAATAAAATGGTCTGTTTTCATGAGCAAATGTGGGGGAAGATTGATACCGAAATTCATAACATCTTCACTGTTTCAAATTTAATCCATTCAGATGATAAGCTATAAGCAATGTAAAAGAACAATTCATGGACTAATAAAGCAACACCGATAAAATGATTTTAGAAAATTTTATACACAAACTTTTCAGGTAATTCGAATACAGCATAGTTTGGGGTAGAAATTTCACTACTTTTCTGAATCGGTTTTTCATCATCATTATCCAGAATAATTCTGTAAGTCCGTATAGGTCAAATTATCTGATTGAATTTCAAGTATAAATACTTTTTAAGATGAATAATGCCAATGAGAATACTATGCAATTTATGATGGTTAACTTTGGAGAGTGAAATACTGAAATGGCATATCGACATACCCTCTTCATCTAAGCTATCTGCCTCCTCTTCCTCATGGAACCGTTTAAGTATTTCCATCATTTTAAATTTACTATTTTCATCAGATTGCACTTGTTGCAGCTCTTCCATTACATTCTCTCTCATAAAAGACTCTGTACAGCGAAGACTATGAGACTGCAAAAGTACCATACAAGATCATTTCAGACACCAACACTATCACCAATACATAGTGTGTGTGTGTGTGTGTGTGTGTGTGTTTTTTTTTTNGCTCAGTATAGTATAGAATAAGCTAGCTGTCATATACTAGTATCCCCTTTAAGAATCCAAATCAAGTACTTGTTTATATACAACCAAATCAGATTAAAAATCCTTAAATTGGTACCTTGTAACAATGCAAAGAACAGTATCGAATATTGCATCGAGGGCATGTATATTGTGAAAATTGCTTCTCGCATCTGCAGAAGTAAGGAATAAAAAAGAACTAATTTATATCATTCTCATATGCACGATTGAGTTGTCAGAAACTACAACCGTACATAATTAGATTATTAAATACTTGATGAAAATTAATGTTATTTGTAAGAGGCCAAAATTCATGGAATGAAGTATTTCACGTCATCTTAACATGCATAAAAATTCCAGATGCTAGCATCATATTGTTGTCCTCGTTAGACAAGCAAAATTATTCCATTTTGGATCAAACAGACACCACAGAATAATACCTTGTTTCGGAGGAACTCAAAAACTAAAAAAGCACCAATGATAACAGGTTCATGACAAAATTTGACCTATTTTTCACAATTCAAGACAAGCTTTAAATGAGAATGAGCGTGGCATTATAGTGCACAAAGATGAGATTGTCACAGCCCAAAGTATTGGTTGTCATTCTAGTTCAATATGTAGGATCTATAACATAAGGAGGCCCATGTAATTTGTACAAAGATACGATTAGGGCTGTTTGACCTAAATGTATGTAATGCCATAATATGTCTATGCAGTAATGGTAGCTAAATATACTACAACAAGAAAATGAGATCTACTAGAAGTAATCTACCACTGGCCTGCTCTATGCATATTGGATCTTGGATTCGGTGTAAGTTGGGTAGTCGAGGAAAAGTAGCAATACAAGTTCACTATTTCTAATCCACAATTTTATATTTTGACACTCATTTTTTAACATCAAAGTCCAGACTATCTACAAAAGCTAGATAGTTGTGTCACTTCACCCTTCTATATGGCTCAAGAGTATCTGATCATTACTGTACCATTCCATTGTCTATCCACACACAACGTGTATATCTAGTACTATTTCACAGCAAGAATTCCATTTCGTGACCTGAACTCAACATTCTTTGGTGCACATTTAAATCCGAACTTGAAAACATAAACGAAAATAACAATTAGGGCAACATTTATAAACTGGCAAAAGTACCAAAAGCTATAAACAAAATTATACCACAATCAAAGAGCAAGGGAGCCAAACTTACACGCGGCATATTATGCGGGTATTAGGGTTGAAATGTGTAGAGTTGGAAGATGCTTCGGTGGTAAATATATTGTCCGACATCTGCAAAAGCCGAGATATTGTCTTCAATTTGTATAATTATTACACCACAAATTACTAATCGAAGTAATAATCATTCATATTCAAACTCAACCATGCAATAAAAACAACACTCAAATCATCCAATCTGTAAGATCCGTAATAATTTATGTCAATAATTTATCATTAGTGAATTTATTTCAAAATATCCTCCTTTAGGTAACTGTAAGTTTAACCCCTCAAATTTTCGATACCCAAACAATCCAATATCANCCCATAAAAAAAAAAAAAAATCGCCCCAGTTTACAACCATAGTTAAAAAAGCAAAGCCGTCGCCAGGCCCTTCCTGATACCCATCACCTCAGCCAGGAACTTCGAATTTCATCTTCAAGCTCTCAAATTCATTCCAAAAACAGAGGGGAAAAAAATAAAAATAAAAATAATAATAATAATACAAGCATACCTTTTTAAACTGAAGCCACCATCAATATTTCCTCCGATTTTCCTCTCCCGGAAGTTTCAAGCCGTCTACTGACAATCCAATGTCATTTCAGAGGCTCAAATTCAACTCCCCCTGTCAATTTCGATTGTGGAGTTTGTTTGTATGTGTTTGAGTGTGTGATTTCCTGTGATGTCACAGAGTAGTCAAGAGTAGTCGAGAGAGAGTGTAGAAAAGTCGAGAGTTGAGTGTTGATGATGATGATGAGAGGTTCTGGTTCTTATATTTTGGGCCAGTTGGATAACTTTTCTAGAACAACCCATGTTAACAAGCCCATCTTTCTAATTCCTGTTGATGATAACAATCTCTGTCCATATTGTTATTTTCTACATAGGCACATATACATTATTATTTCTCGGTGTTCAATATTTTCAGTCTTCGTAAATTGTAAATTATTATAGACATATTAAATTTTATATTGTAGATTTCAAGCTTTCGAGGAGTAATTCTGTTGGGTGGGTACATCATATTTCCACTCACTTTGCTATTTAAGGTCTGGTTTTTTTATTGAAATTAAAGTGTTTTTAAATGGTTTGTAATTTTTATGATGAGTGTTATGTGATGTTTCTTATGTTAACATAATATTTTCTTTTCAAATTGTCCTATCGATAGCATTCGAGCTTATATTTGCGTTGAAAATCTTTCATGAACATTATTTGCCTTCGGGCTATGGCAGACAGGCAGGGTACTTCTTAGATATTTATTTAATCCAAATAAAATAAGTAATTGAGATTTCACGTTGATTCAAGTTAATCACAAAAAATTATAATAAAATTAACTCCACATAATATTAAACTAGCACCTAGCCCGTGCGATGCACGAGACGTAAGTATTAATGAGTTATTTCCACAGAACTTGTCTGTTAAGTAGCTCGTGCGATTCACGGGAGGTATTAAATGAGTGGACCATAGGGTTTGTCCGTTCAGACCTAAAACATAATAGAGTTTGATCATCTATCTTTTTACATCTTTTCATCAACGTCATTTTTTTTGTCGGAACATTAAACCTGAGTCTGGTAGCGCTAGCCCGTAAATTAATTAATATATTATCTCGCTCACATGTTTATAATAATATAAATTTGATTTCATTATATATATTTATTCATTGATATAAGAGAAATAACAATTTTACGTAGTCTTGTTCCTCGTATAATACTTATATTATTTCATTATAAAATTTATTGTAGTATAATGTCATTATTATTATAAGTTATAGATGTAATCTTCTTCTTTTTTTTGTTTTATGTAATTAAAATATTTAATGTATGTTCATATTATTTATTAATGTAATTAATTTAAATTATGTAAATAAATTTAAAGTAAAATATTTTGTACAAATATTTTACAAAATATACACAAATATTTTTTTAGAATTTAATTTTTTTACAACAAATAACAGTTTTGAAATTCTCTGCATTATTAAAACCGATTAAATCTGCTTTATTAAAATCGATTAAATCTTTATTTATAGGCTTGACATTAAAATCGATTTTATGAGATTATTTTAATTAAACCGATGTTATGGAATAAAACAAATCTGTACTTACATTTGACTTTTCCAGCAAAGGTAAAAAAATCGGTTATGATTTTTATTCCATAACAAATCTTTAATGTCAAGCTATAAATACCAAAACAAATCTGTAATTAATGTCATTCTATTTCCAGCAAACATTAATTACTTTTGACTTTTCTTTATACTAAATCTGGTAAATGAGATATCTTTTAATATAAGTATAGATAGATTTAAAATTATAAAATTAACTACACATAATGTTAAATTTAAAATTTTATTGCCATCTATGCAATAGAAGAGCTTCTATTAAAATTTACATGTCACAACGGGGCCAACCCATCGGCCCGGTACGCAGCCCCTTAAAAACCGCCATTTGGCGGGGCGGGCCTGTGAAATGACAATCAGGCCCAACCCCACCGCGGGCTAGGCGGGCCGGCCAAAATTTGTTGAAACCTGGGAGCAAATGGGACTATTGAAGCAAATATTTTGTGCAAAAAACTGGGAGCAAATGGGAGCCAAAAAAAAAAACTAGGCACTTGAATTATTCACACCAAATGGGATCACATATTTGTAACACACACTATATATCCAAACATAAAACATCCATCAACAAGTGACAAGTCCACCAAACATTAAATTGAGCAAAAACATTTGAATAAACATTAAATATTTAAATTTAGCTATCATTATCGGAAGAAGCTGCCTTGCCGTTGTCGCTCGGAATCACTGCTGCTGGAGAGAATGCGAGTTGAAAGGTTAAGGACTTAGGGTTACGCAAATGGCAAAGTAACTAACGCCCGTCGGTGTTAGAACTTATGTGTAATTATGTGGCATGTCTGTGACGGCCAAGATCAGGCACACGCTGATAGACGACCAATCGTTGGCTATCTACAATGTGGACAAGGTCTTGATGCAGAGTACCCGAGGCCAGCCAAGGGGGAGGCGTCATAGGGCTCCGGCAGCAGTTTCTCCGATGAATGCGCCGGATGGGGATCTATCTAGTGGCCGGCGCTCAATTCTTTGAGCTTATATGGCAGATCAGACGACCGATAACAACAGCGCATCTGGGATTTGAGTGTGGCATATTTGTCGCTGTGATTTTGAGCTTTGGCTTGTATATATACAACTATGCGTTTGTGTGTTTTTCGGGCTGCTATTAGACTCGTGAGGAGGACGGTGAGTGAAAAGCTTAGCTCCCCTTTCAATAGTTGAAAAAACTCAAATTTNGAGTGTTTTTTGGGCTGCTATCAGACTCCTGAGGAGGACGCTGGGTGAAAAGCTTCCCCTTTCAATGAATAGTTGAAAAAACTCAACTTTTTTCTTCTATTTTTATTTAATTTTTTTTTTTGTGAAATGGTGATGGCTATTTAATTTATCTTGTACTAGACTAGATTATGTTGTGGATATTTTGAGTTTATATACCGTATATCTTTCAATATATGTTCCCGTAAACACAATTAACAGTATATGTTCCCGTAAACACAATTAACAGCATATGTTGCGTATATAAGCTGTATATGTTCAGTATATTATGTATATATTTTCTGTATGTATCTTCTGTATATATTACGATGTATATTATGTATATATTTTCTGTATGTATCTTCTGTATATATATTACGAAGAGATCGTGTATTTTCTGTATATTAGTACGTTTGAATTTCAAAAACTAATCATTTCCATTTGATCTGAACGGCTTCCTAAATAGTAGGAAATGTAGACTTCCCTTTTTTTCTTCAGTTTAATAATCTAAAGGCGTGATTGTAAAAAAGATGTTAATTTGGTAACTGATATTTTTTATTCATCCTAAATAAATGCATTTTTTTTAGGTATACCTGCGAATAAACACTCGTATCGTAGGAATGCAATAATTTTAAAATCTTGTGGTTGGTTAAAAATTTCACCGTGTAAATTGCAATCTACTTTTTTTTTTTCAACGGCGAACTTGCCCTTGGCCCATATCCTAACTGCAAAGGCATAGCGTAACGAAGCTAGCAACAAGAAGTGTTTCGTGTTCGACAAACTGCATGCATAATTTGATTTGTCTTACAAAGCATCTCATGGGAGAAACATTTGTGATCATTCAGATAAACAGTATTATTTCAACTCTCACATTGGAAAGACTAACACAAACACATTCCTCCGAAATTTGAATAATCCTTCCTTTGTTTCTCTCTGAATTCGGACAATGCAGTTCCTTACGTCTTCCCAACAAATGCCGAACAACTCATATTTTATCTATCCTTTACCCGTTACAAATTCTTTCAAATTCCTCAAAATTCCTCGGTTATATGGGTTTATGAATTTCGTGCTGACCCGTGTTTGATCTGCTAAAAAGAATAGGATTAAATCAAAGCATATCCAAGCTCATGAGAGAAGCATTTTTTAGCAAATTACCAGCAACAGGATCGACTTTCATTTGAAATTCTGGATATTGTTTCCAGTTTATCTGCAAAAATTCATCCATCACTTGGAGAATAATAATTTCACGGATCACATACGATTTGAGTAGAAATAGTATC